TGTATTTACATTTTTCTGGTTATCAAATGAAGGCATAAAACATTAATTTAATTTATCATTTATCTTTTAATTATTGAAAATTAAGCAAACAAGATTTTTTGGCAAACAAAGGGGATTTACTATTAAAATTAAAACACGGAAGAAATGTTTTGTGTGATTATTCCTTAAAAAATAATGTTTGTTTCATTTTAGTACTAGTAGTAGCAGTAGTAGGCTACTACTTTATCTACTGAAAAATAGATATAGGCACAATGTCTTCAAATCAAACCGGACTTTTATTTTGACGGGTTGCCGTGAATACTTTTACAGTTCTGTGAATGAGATATGATGCTAGTTTTACTCAAATCAAACGCTAAAATGCTCATGAAGTGACTCTCAGAGCAGTTCTGGAGATGTTGAGAGCATTTCTGGAGATGTTGTTCATGTGTTTAAGTCCTCATTTAGTGAGACGGCAGATGCTGAAATCACCACGAGTGTCAGGCACGCTTCAGGGTGTGTAGTAAATGAAACCGCGCGTCTGCGCCATTCATTAACAGAGACAGGCTGAACATGCAGGATTCATATTTAAATCGACTTTTGCGGCTTAATATTTACAGATACAAGTCCATATCTGATTTGATTTAAGTGCAATGACCTACTTTTGATTAATTCATTCAAAATTTGACAAATTCCGTGACATTCCGCGTTAAACTGTGAATTCTGTTTTTATGACTGGATAAAGACTACACTGCGTAATTTTCCTGCTTATCATGCGGCCACTTGCCTGATGTAACATAAAATATTTTACATATCACCACTTGTGAACGAGCTAGTGTAATGCAAATATATCTGAAAGGTCTGTGTTAGGATATCGTCACATCGGATCTCGCGAGATCACACCCCTATTTAACCATATTTCAAAGACAAATTTATTTTAAAATTACATATAACGATGTGCTTATGTCCTTTTGAGTGGGTCAAAAAAACACTAAAGTTCAGCTAACTGCATTTTATATAAAGGTTAACTATAATATATTTTCATTTTATTGCAATTAAGTCTAATTTATCAAGTATATTATTTTACATAATTTTATTCTCATAATAAAAATATGCTAAAGTGTGCTTCTTTTTACACTGTTTTTATGATGAATTTATACGTTTTTGTAATTGTATGAAAATAGCTATGTGAAGATTATTAAATTATTTCTTATTTTGTGACACTTGGAAAAAAAACAACAGCATTCAGACTTGGACTGCTGTAAACATTTCAGTGCAATATAAAATGAGGGATGTCAAATCAGTCTCATTCTCTCCCAGAGTGAAATATAGCAACGTACTGTATTTTACAGTTGACAAATGAGAAATGGCCTCTAATTGATCTTCCAATAATTTTAATACATTATGCATGTGGCGGTCTTGGTGTGAGCGATGAGACACAAATGTTATCACAAATGTTATGCTGTACTCATCAGTGTTGTATGTATCTGAGTTCATCTCTATTCATTATTGAACTCACTGATTGAGTTCTGAGAATTCACAGTGAGACTGCTGGCATGACCAAGTCAATAAAGACTCAGAATCCATTATAAAGCACATGATAGAGCAGCTTAAAGACCCCATGAAATCAAAATTCAAGTTTTGTAACTTTTTCAAAAAGGCAGGCACAGAAATATCTTTATGGTTAGAAGCCAGAGGTTCAGAAATCAGAAAGGCAGCTCAGTTTTTTGGAAGAGAGACTCAAACTGACCTGTGCTGTCTAAAGGAAAGGCCCATGTGCTGTTTCATCTGCTGCAGGCCGTGGTAGTCTGTATAGATAAGGTCAAAGGGTAACGGGCCAATCAGAGGGCAGCTTCCTCTTCCTGGAGGAACGCCAAGTGACCTAAAAGTGAAGAAAGAATACGTTGTAACACACTAAAGCAGTGGTGCAGGTTTGAGAGTAGTAATCGACATCAACATTGCTGGAACATTTCAGCCCTTTGCATTGTGTATATTGACTCATATTTACTTGTTGTGATACAATATAGATCTCTGAGTGACTGGAATTCATTTACCTTTTGTGCATTGATTTGTGGATTTCTTGCATGTAACCCTTTTGCAACATGACATGCAAGACTCCAGAGTTTTCAGAAACCTTGTAGTCTGCTTAATTGTACTGAATGTGAATTTGTAGTGCGCTTCAAAACTTAAAAGTATATATATATATATATATATGTGTGTGTGTGTGTGTGTGTGTGTGTGTGACCCTGGACCACAGAACCAGTCTTAAGTCGCTTGGGTATATTTTTAGCAATAGCAATATACAATTAGCAATACAATTTCAATATAAATCTCAGTTTCAAAAAAATTACCCTTATGACTGGTTTTGTGGTCTTTTGTGTGATTATTCCTTAAATAATGGTTGTTTCATTTTAGTAGTAGTAGGCTATGTACATTCTACTGAAAAATAGTTATAGGCACACAATGTCTTCAAATCAAACCAGACTTTTATTTTGACGGGTTGCCGTGAATACCTTTACAGTTCTGTGAATGAGATATGATGCTAGTTTTACTCAAATCAAACGCTAAAATGCTCATGAAGTGACTCTCAGAGCAGTTCTGGAGATGTTGTTCATTTGTTTACGTCCTCATTTAGTGAGACGGCAGACGCTGAAATCACCGCGAGTGTCACGCGCGCTTCAGTGTGTGTAGTAAATAAAACCGCGCGTCTGCGCCATTCATTAACAGAGACAGGCAGAACATGCAGGATTCATATTTAAATCGACTTTTGCGGCTTAATATTTACAGATACAAGTCCATATCTGATTTGATTTAAGTGCAATGACCTACTTTTGATTAATTCATTCAAAATTTGACAAATTCCGTGACATTCCGCGTTAAACTGTGAATTCTGTTTTTATGACTGGATAAAGACTACACTGCGTAATTTTCCTGCTTATCATGCGGCCACTTGCCTGATGTAACATAAAATATTTTACATATCACCACTTGTGAACGAGCTAGTGTAATGCAAATATATCTGAAAGGTCTGTGTTAGGATATCGTCACATCGGATCTCGCGAGATCACACCCCTATTTAACCATATTTCAAAGACAAATTTATTTTAAAATTACATATAACGATGTGCTTATGTCCTTTTGAGTGGGTCAAAAAAACACTAAAGTTCAGCTAACTGCATTTTATATAAAGGTTAACTATAATATATTTTCATTTTATTGCAATTAAGTCTAATTTATCAAGTATATTATTTTACATAATTTTATTCTCATAATAAAAATATGCTAAAGTGTGCTTCTTTTTACACTGTTTTTATGATGAATTTATACGTTTTTGTAATTGTATGAAAATAGCTATGTGAAGATTATTAAATTATTTCTTATTTTGTGACACTTGGAAAAAAAACAACAGCATTCAGACTTGGACTGCTGTAAACATTTCAGTGCAATATAAAATGAGGGATGTCAAATCAGTCTCATTCTCTCCCAGAGTGAAATATAGCAACGTACTGTATTTTACAGTTGACAAATGAGAAATGGCCTCTAATTGATCTTCCAATAATTTTAATACATTATGCATGTGGCGGTCTTGGTGTGAGCGATGAGACACAAATGTTATCACAAATGTTATGCTGTACTCATCAGTGTTGTATGTATCTGAGTTCATCTCTATTCATTATTGAACTCACTGATTGAGTTCTGAGAATTCACAGTGAGACTGCTGGCATGACCAAGTCAATAAAGACTCAGAATCCATTATAAAGCACATGATAGAGCAGCTTAAAGACCCCATGAAATCAAAATTCAAGTTTTGTAACTTTTTCAAAAAGGCAGGCACAGAAATATCTTTATGGTTAGAAGCCAGAGGTTCAGAAATCAGAAAGGCAGCTCAGTTTTTTGGAAGAGAGGCTCAAACTGACCTGTGCTGTCTAAAGGAAAGGCCCATGTGCTGTTTCATCTGCTGCAGGCCGTGGTAGTCTGTATAGATAAGGTCAAAGGGTAACGGGCCAATCAGAGGGCAGCTTCCTCTTCCTGGAGGAACGCCAAGTGACCTAAAAGTGAAGAAAGAATACGTTGTAACACACTAAAGCAGTGGTGCAGGTTTGAGAGTAGTAAGTAATCGACACATTGCTGGAACATTTCAGCCCTTTGCATTGTGTATATTGACTCATATTTACTTGTTGTGATACAATATAGATCTCTGAGTGACTGGAATTCATTTACCTTTTGTGCATTGATTTCTGGATTTCTTGCATGTAACCCTTTTGCAACATGACATGCAAGACTCCAGAGTTTTCAGAAACCTTGTAGTCTGCTTAATTGTACTGAATGTGAATTTGTAGTGCGCTTCAAAACTTAAAAGTATATATATATATATATATATGTGTGTGTGTGTGTGTGTGTTTTTCATTTTTGGGTGAACTATCCCTTTAAGTAAATTTTAAAGTTTACTCAAATTTACTTTAAAACATTGGTTTAATAATCTTTTTTGTGCTCTAAAGTACAATCATTTTGATGTGTTGACTAACATACTAAAACAAATGTAAAGTAATTTGAAACTGTAGCATGTTATTGGATATTTAAAGGTAATATATTTTAAATGTACTAAATTGCAACTTCATCATTACTAATGTATAATTACAAATATATTTAAATACATGACATATAAGTTTAACCAGAAACGGCCGTACCATATATGCTTGACAATAAATTTGTCAGTACACTATAACCATATTTAAAAGACATCAGAAATAATTATGAAATTATATATAAAGATGAACTTAAGTCCCACTTAAGTGGGTCAAAGTATTGTTCAAATAGTTGGATTTAATTTAAATGTAAACTATAATAGATCTTTTATTTAATTTTCAATAAGATGCAGCTAAGTTTCTGATAATAATTAGTATATTATTTTCTTTAAAGTATATTATTTCCGTAATGCAGTTCTCCTTTTAAAAGCTTTTTTTTATTTTTTTTATATATAATGGCCAGTTCTTAATTTTGGCATCTCATATTACAAACTTTTAAATAAATAAATGAATGAATGAATGAATGAATGCAATATTTTGGGGGACACCAAGCATGAGGCTTCGGGGCTAAATTTAGTGTGACTCATCATCTAGATCGCACACAGCAGGTGACTGTGAGGAGAGCACCTCCTCTCTGCAGGAGATCATTTGTCAGTTGGGAGAGTTTCTCTGGGATACTCCTCCAGGGATCCTGGAAGTGCCAAATCCAAAGCCGCTGGTGTTTGTGAGCAGATGCTTCAGCAGAGAATGTGTAAACCACCACAGACCTGCTGCTAAACTGGCTTCTGATATTTCATTATGAATTCTGGGCTGGTTTCAGCCACCCACATCTTTCATCTACAGAAAATGGGAAAAGAGCAATAACCGCATCACAATCTCATGCAGGTTGGGCTCCGTTAAAATTCATTTCCGAACACCGAAGGTTTTTGATGTTATTTCGATCTGAAATGTCAAAATGCGAGCGCCTTTAACCGTAACACCCGGGGTTTAATAGACAATACTGGAAAGACCTTTTTCTTAACCAATGCTCAGTTCGTTTATGCAAATCCTCAGGCAAAGGTAAAGCTTTTTTCAGTCCTGGTCTGCAAATCTTTAGTTCTATAAATGTCAGCTCTGTAAATGAGGTGGTGTCTTGCATAAACCAGGTTACTGGGTCCAAAGCAACTCATTCAAACTGGTGTTTAACTCGTGCAAAGGGCTCTGTGAGACATAAACTGACCAAAGGTCTCAAATACATGTAACATGGCATGACAATTGTGAGTCGTCTTGGATAAAAGTGTCTGCTGAATGAATAAATGTGAATGAAAATAAATGTAGATGAACTTGGAAGATCCATGAATGTAGAAGATCCAAAAAAGTTTAAAAAGGTGTCTTAAATAAATCCATGTGAATCGAATGGTTTAATCCAAGTCTTGTGAAGAGATACGCTTTTTTATGATGAAAATACTTAATTTAGGCTTTTATTCATATGGGTTGATTCAAATGGATTGATATTATGAAACCTTTATGGCTTTTTTTTGGATCTTCTAAGTTCTGGTTACCTGGACTTTCAATGGAGGGACACATTTCTGTAAAAATATCTTAATTTGTGATTCAAAGATTCACCAAAGTCTTATAGGTTTTGATCAACATGAGAGTGAATACATGATGAAAGAATTTTCATTTTTGGGTGAACTAAGAAACATAGTCATGAAAGTTTACTCTCTTTAAAGGGGTCATATGATGTTGCTAAAAAGAACATTATTTGGTGTATTTGGTGTATTTGGTGTAATGAAATGTGTTTATGCGGTTTAAGGTTCAAAAAACACATTATTTTCCACATATTCCACATATGAAACGCGTCGATTTTTACAAAGCTCATCGGTCTGAAAAGCGAGGTGTGCTCTGATTGGCCAGCTATCCTATTGCTCATCCAATGGAGCACTGCAATTAATGTAATGGAAACCAAACAATGCAAACAAGGGCAATATAAAACTTGTTGCTATGATTATAGTATTAAAAAAATCCTGTACTGTACAATAATGTACTGTAAAATACTGTACATATAGTGAAATATTTGCATACAGTGTATACTGTAGACATATACAGTATAAGTAGTAATTTGAGACCTGTCAATCGAAATGTTTCATAGCAGTGGGCAGTCCAGTTGGGAACCATGAATGTTTCCATGGTAACAGCAACTTCTGAAACTCTATATACTATACTTCTCTAATAAGATTATATCAATAAAGTTAATTATGTCAGTGTTAATTTCCTGTATGAGAAGCTTATATATAATTAAATATAATTAAATATAAAACTGAGCAAGCACATGGTATTTAACATTGAAATAATCAATGCATATGTAAACTAAATGGGAATTTATATTCAATATACAATATAGCAAACTAATTGCAAAACAATTAGTTCACATGATCAAATACCCTTTTAAGAAATTTGTGCATTGACAGATGAAAATATCACTTATGATTCCAAAGCACTTTTACCATAGTGCATGATTTGTAACCTAATACATTTTTTAAAATTTACATTACATAACCAGCTGCGTATGTATGACTTTCCTGACATAGTAGACTTGCTCGGTAGCCCACCTGGTACAGTCAGGTACGAGTCCTGTGAATCAAGATTCACAACAAAAAAGCCCACACACTTGTAGAATCAAGCTAAAATTGCACTGATGTTTCAGCAAATGTGTTTTTATCTCACTTTTGCTTTTGTTAACACTATCAGTTTTAGGGTCAGGTTTACTGTAGGTGGTACATTATTTTCAAATGTGATAGAGCAACCAGTGTAATAAAACGCTGCCAGATCCACGTTCATCTGTTTTAGATAAAACTGCATGCACTTTTAGAGCATTCTTCTCACTGGAAACAAAACTTGCAAGAAGCAATATAATATTATTTTGCAGCAATGTTGCCACAGGTACATTTTTGTCCTGTGGGTTAAGATATTTTGTTATATCCTACAATATTTTATGAATAGTCCGGTCCATATTTGGTAGTGACTGGAGTGTTTCTGAGGCTAAAAAATACAATTTTTCCCCACTTAAAGCTGTCACGGTTTCCATGCTTTCTTTGCAAACCGAGTGAATTAAACTGCCTCCCTCTCTAAAAAGAGAAATGACTGTGAGCCAAGTGTGAGCTGTGTTTCCACAGGTCACTGGAGCTCAGCAAATGTGACAATTGACAGACACACAAGCTGTCACAGTGAGCGGCACACAGAAATACAACACAAAACATCACATTTATGCTCCATTTTCAACTAACGTCCAAAGATGACATAGATATAGATGGAGAGTAAATGGAGATGTTTGCCAAAAGTCAACATGAAACTCCATTAGGACATCTCCATTAGGACATTGTTGATTTTCCAAGTGATGAGATATTCAACAATAAAAAATGCAGTGTGTCTTTATTTTTATGCATAACTTAAAAGATATAATAAGACAGAAATAACAAACAAAAATGCAATAATGAGAAAAAGTGTATGCACAAAAAACAAAACAAAACAACAACAACAAAAAAAATTTTTTTTTTGTAAAATTTTTTTTTTTTGAATAACCAAATGATCTGAATTCTGCAATTGACAACAGTTTGGTCTCTATTTATAAATTGTGAATTTAAGCAGAGACATCTTAGTGTGATACTTAAACATCTGATACTTAAAACTGAGAACTCCATTGAGTCTCATGAGCCATGAAACACACACACACACACACACACACGCACACACACACAAAACAATAAAACATTTTTTTTCCAGAGTAAATGTCCTCATGCAGTTAAGATCAGATACACCCTGCTGTTCTTGTCATAGATTTATCTTGCTGCAGTTTTTTATTTTGAGGAAGAACTGATATCTTCTTGCTAAACAGTAGATAAATAATAACATCTATAAGACAACTTGTTCTACAGACTAACTGAGCCATTACAAAAGCTCTAGTTATAAAACACATAGTTCCAGCTCTGAAATCTGATAGGGTGAGCTACATTTGAAAACACTGTAAAATACTGCAGGTGAAGCCACAAACCTGCACTTATATACATAAATTCATTCAGCATACATCAATTTGTGCAGCTAGGCAACTGTAAAGCAGTGTTATTATTGTTAATTAAAACTATATTAAAATATTTTTGTTAATTGAAATAAAGTTAAAATGATAATTAAAAAATAGATACAAAAATAACAAATGCAAATTTTCACTAAATGAACATTAAAAATGGAATGCTCCAATAGCAGCCTTTAAATACACGAGCAGAAGTAGTGTTGAAATGCTGTGAATTCAAATTACCATTCTTTTGCCTTACGCAACTAAAAATGTAAAAGTAAAAATATGTTTCCATTGAAATACAATACTAAACCATACATAACTGGTATATGTAAATAACTTTCAGAAACTGTCTTTATAAATAAATTGATTAATGAATAAATATTAATTTAAGAAATTACATTTCTTTCTTATGATTGATTTTATTTGACATGCACAACCAGGATCACTGCACACAGCCACGCTGTTTAGGTCG